TACCCGCAGATAAGTTTTATTCTACTATATTATTTTAATTTCTGCACATGATGAAATGCATTTTAATACTATGTTTTATTTGCATTTATTTTCAGCAAATTCTAGATATAGTTGGAATGAACATATCATACATGACAGAACACCCAGAATATCATTTCTAATAACCCAAATTAGTTTAGTTCCAGTTACGATTCATATACTATAATTATATTACTTGTAATTTATATCGATAATTACTGAATTCTCTACTCACTTCCCATATATACCCTTATCTTTATGCACCAATAATTTTCACTTTAAGTTGCATTTCACGGCAGGCTTTAATATATTTACTTAAATTTTTATTTAGTATAAATGAGTCATGAACTTTTTTTTTATTACTTAAAAACTTTAAATATACTGACATAAAAAATAAATTCTATCATATATTATAATAAAACTTATTAAATAAGTATACGACAATATTACGACAAAAAGTAATGAAATTTTAATTTCTTTTAATCTTATACAATAATGGAACTATAATGAAACTAAATAATATGCAGTATTTTATATATACAGAAATTTCTTTAACATTTGATTCTAACAGCTGATATACATATACTTACATATATACATATACTTGTGTATGAAATGAAAATATAATCAAAATAATATTTTTTTCACTATTTTTATTGTGTAGTACAACAAAATTATATTGTTGATCGTTAATGAGAGTAAATAACATTTTTATACTAAATACATTTATAATAAGTAATATAGGAGGGGGAGAAGGGGGGAGGGGCGGTAAAATTTTCAAAAATAAATTTATTTCATTTTAAATTTTTGTAAGTACTTGAATACAAACACATTTATGTATATATGTATATGTATATATAGAGTTGCTTACTATTATGGCATTTTGTTTAGTAAAGCTTCTAAAAATATTAAACTTTTTCGTTTAAGTACATTTTGTTTATTTCCTTGTTCATTTTTTGGTACATTTTTAAAAAGTTTTCAAAAAAAAAAAATTACTTATTTGTTGCACTTTTGTCTGTCCGTCTATTTTGTATAATTCTTAGTAAAAATTTTATTACTTTTAAAAATCAAATTTTTACATATAGCACTCCTCTTTAAATTATAATTTTTTATTTATTAATTTTTTATGTATTAATTGCAATTTTTTAAAGTAAAAGGCAAATTTTGAATTATGGAAATGCAACAATGTCAGTAAAATGTCAACAATAATGTCAGTAATAATATCAAACTTTTGAATTAGAAAAGTTAAATTAAACATTATGTCAGACCAGTGCTTCACCAAATTACGGAATAAATTATCTTCAGTATACAAACTCTTTTGAAGAAATATTTTTACTTCCGAATTTATTGCATTCTACAGTTTGGCAAATGTTAATTTTCTTTAATTTTGTAACATTAACAGTTGTCTTATCCAAAAAGTCATTAACATTACACCATCTTCACCCTCTATTTGAATAGCAATACAATTCAATCTTCAAGAAGCCTTAGTATAAATATTTTAAAATTTATGATTCCTTAAAATTTCTCCTAAATTTATGCAAATTTTTTTGATAATAACAATTTTTAAACAAGTATTTTTTGGTTTAGTCCCAAAATCAAATGTAAATTCTTGAATTAAACTATTAAAGAGAAATGTACTATTTTGCAATGCATGATTTTGTAGTCGGCATATTTTCGTTTCTTTTTCAAATATAGCACATAAAATGTAAATTTTATATAATTTTTTTTTGTTTTTTTTTGCTTTAATGTAATACAAAACTTTATATTTCATTTTATATAATAATGTGAGAAACATAAAAAAACAAAACAAAAAAAAAAATTCTTAATTAAAAAAGTGGAAATTATGCAGTAACATTTATATTTTAATAAATTTTATATAGGTAGTAATTTTTTTTTTTTTTTAGGATATAGAGACATTCGCACGTACGCGTATTTTAAGTCATGTACAACATAATAAAATATTTATATTAATGTTATATAAGTTAGGGTAGATCGTAAATGAAAAACTGCAGGTTTATGTTATGGAGAAAAAAAAAGAAACTTTCTTCCAGACCGCTTTGATGCAATATAATAATTATATCTATATGTCGGTACCTATATGAATATTTACATATATATAGTTGGCTATAATAAATGGTATGGTATAGCAATCTATACTTACTCCCCGTTAAAATAGTTAAAGATATTGTTATATAAAAAAAAATTTTTATTTTATTTTTCTTTCTATTTTTTTTTTTTAACGTTTTGTTATACATAAGTCATTGCAGAACATCAAAAAAAAAAAAATTTTTTTTTTTACCTTTGAAAGTTAAAAACAGTGTTTCTTTTTACATATGACGTTCTATATGCACATATACGTTATGTTTACAAACACATTATATATGCGCGTACACGTACTCGTTACGGGTATATGTGATGCAAAAAAAAATATAGAAGAATTTATTTTCTAACTCCAATTAAATATTCATTTTTTGTTTATTTCTTTGTTTGTTTGTTGTTTTTCTTCTAAACATATATATATATATATATTTTTCTTCTGATTTTTGATTTTATATATTTTTTAATACATGCATGTAAGTATGATGTGTGTCTCTATATTCTAAATTTCTTCGCATTTCAAAATCCTTGTTTTTTTATGTAGTTACCTATACAATGACAAAAAAGATTCTCTATACTCTTTTACAAACTCGACAATTTTTAATTTGTTTTCATTTATTTCAAACACCTGAATTTAATTGTATGCACTTCAAATTATATTCAAGTGATGCCGTTCTTTTAACAAAGCTTATGTCTTCCACTTTTTTTTTTGTTTTTTGTTAAATTTTTCTTTATTTTTGCTCCTATGCGATAAATTTTTACTTTACCTTTATCTTTTTATACCCCATACTCAACTTATGGGGCACATACATACATTTATGTACATATATATAAAAATAATATTGAACGCGTGTGAAAAGTGGTGTAAAGTAAAAACGTACAAAAAAAATTTTTTTTTTTTACTTCTCTTCTAAATTCTCTTTACTTAACTGTCTCTGTTTTCTTTATTTTTTTTTTGTCTTATTTTGTTTTCTTACAAAATATTTAATATAGAAATTTTTTATTTACTTATACCCATATTTGTTTTTGTGTTTTTCTTTTCTTTCTTTTTTTAATAATAAATGAATTTACCTAAAAAAAAAAATCGTACTCAACTTTTTCACCACTCAAAACTCTTTCCGCACCATCTATAAATTTTCTCACAAATTCTTGCAAAAGAAAATTGAGAAAATTTTGAATAAAATTCAAAAAATAATAAAAGAAATGAGGATAGACAAGAGAAGTTAAAAAAATATAAATAAAATTAAAAAAAAAAAATATTTTTATTGGCGCCAAAACAATTGCATTTCTGTTTATGTCATATTGTAATATTATGACGGCGTTGCAATTTATTTCATTATATTATATACATATATGAAAATTTTGTGACATAAATCCATTTATGTATGAGTTTATATATTACTGTCTTATTCTCTTATAAAATTGAATTGCTCATATACTACATATACGACATCTATAAACGTGTATGTTAACTTAAATTTACTTATATACTATATAAAATAATAATAATATTTTAGTGTGTACAAATATTTATTGGAAAAATTGTGACTTCTTTGCCTTTTGCGATTTCTCCAATTTAATAATATAATTTGGTTTTATTAATATATTTATTATTTGTTTTCATATGTTATATAATGTGTATATAATGTATTTTTGGGGAAATAATGGTAATAAATAACAGAACGGTATCTAACAATAATAATGACTAGTATAGTAACAGTAATAATGACTGATATTTTTGCATAAATTATTGATTTCTTATAAAATTTTTACAATTATTGTATTGGTAAATTTTTCAATGGGCAATAATAAATTTGACGCATTTGTAAATTAAAAATTAGGTTAAATAGTGTCCATATAAATTTTATTAAAAATAATAGTACCTATACGATAAATAATTTATAATTGAGTACTATTAGTAAATTCTTCACTACGCCAAAATTTGAAATTTAGAGAATTAATTTGTAAAACGCCTTTTAATTTAAAATCCTATGGATTTTGTCAATTAGAGTATATTTTTGCAACAATTTTTTAGGTTTTCTCAATTTCCATTAATTATTTCATATATGATGTAATTACGTTATTTAGCTTGCTTATGATCCTAAAAGAGGTAATGAAGTATATGTATTGCGTACAACTATGCTAATAAGAGCGGCGATTAATGCGATCTAAACATTATTCATAATCAATTTCAAAAATAATTATCATTTCATATCATAAAATTATTGTAAATTCAATTATAAATGTTATTAATTCTCTTCTAGATCTTTTTCATCTCACATATCAAGTGATCAAACTTTAAAATTTCAATATAAAGACATCGATATTTTCCGGATTTATATATACCAACTTTTAATTTCTACTATATTGAAATCTCTTCACTGAGAAAAATTTTATTATTTCAATTAAAACTTCAATTTATTCACAAACCTAAAACTATGCAATTTAAATCACAATTAATAACGACGCAATGAAAAAAAAAACTTTGATAACATTCTCTAATTCCCTATTTAAAACATGATTTATACTCAAAACTCTTCTATTACATTTATATAAATTATTATTGCTATTATTTTATTCAAATTTAATTAGAAATATTTTTTAACCCATATACTTGCAACTAGAGCCCATAAAAATGTATTCATTTTTAAATCCTTTAAATAATGCTCTTTAAATTTCTATTCACAGACAGAATTATTGACTTTGAATACCAAATTTAATGATGGAGCCGAAAAGAAATGAATTAGAAATCATAAATTAATTTCATGATTAGAAATAATTATTAATAAATTTTTTAATTTGATTATGACTAAAATATTGATGTTATCTGAATAAATTTTTAATTCAATATATTTATAATATAGAAAAAAACAGGTAACACTTACCTTTTGTTTCTCGTTTTTCAAAAATGGATGAAAATGAAAACGAAAGAGAAAAATAAATCTTCAGTCGGACTGTTGGCTATGTTTTTGTTTTAATAGTTTCCTTATTTTTTCACTCTTTCTTCCTCTCTCTCTCTCTTTCTCTTGCCTTCTTTTCTGTCTGTTTCGCTCTTGTTCTATCTCTCTGTCTTTGTCTTTGCAATTATGTTTCAGTTTAAGTGACTTTAATTTAGTTTAATTGTAATCAAAAGAATTTTTTTCTAATAAACAGAATCACATTTTTTGTTTTTCTTTTCTAATTTTATAATTATAAATGTTTAATAAAGCACCAATGCAAATTGTATAAAAATATTTTTTCCAAGAAAAATAATAAAAATTGTAAAAATTTAAAATATAGAAATAAAATTTTTTTTATTATTGTTTTCCTTTTTATTTTACAAAAGGAATTTTCTGTTTCTTTTCTTTTTTCTCCTTGTATACTAAAAAATTTTCTTTATTTTTCCTTTTGATCGTGTAAAACACTTAAAGGTCATTCATAATATTTAATTATTGTTTTTTTTTTTTATAATTTTATATAATTTAATTTTATATAATTAATGTATGTATATATATATATGTATATTTGTATTTTAATGTAATTATTATTAAATTTATGTAAAATATTTTATGTATTTTTATTTATTTATTTTTTCAATTATTTAATATAGAATGAATTTTATTTAGACACCTTATTAGAGATAATAAAGTTAGTATAGCATACAATGATGAATACTGAAAATAAATAAGAAAAATAAAAAAATTATTTTTAATAAATAAAAATATTATTTAAATATATTAATAATAGTTTTATATTTAAATATTTTATTTAAAATAATAATGTTATATAGAACAATATTATTGGCATAACAAGAGAAATTGTAATCAATGAAGGATAAATGATGATGTCGCGTGTTCATATTGTAATTTATATTCATTTTATACTCATTTTATATACTTAATAATTATTAAGAACATTAAAACTCTACATTCATTATAATTTTCTGAAATTACACATCTTTCATTATATTTGTAATATTATTTTATGATATTATTAAAATTCAAAGGATATTCAATTAACATATGTAAATGTATTGAAGGAGACAAAACAAAAAACGAAAGAAGAAATCACCAAAGAAAATATAAAAAGTGTAAAATTAATCACATAAGTAATAATAAAAAAAATATTATGTACTTATACTATAATAATAATATTATATTTTATGTAATGGGGTGATTTTCGGTTTTCAAATTTCAAGAAAAATACAGAATAATTTTTATTTCAATCGATAAATAAATTTTTTCCATTTACTTTTCACAGAAAAATAATTGAATGAAAATTATAGTTCAATCGAAGGATTCAATTTTGAGACAACTATTCTAAAATTTCATTCGAAATACCGCTACGACTATGTTTTAGGTATAGGTCAATCGAAGAACTCAATTTTGAGAAACCTATTCCAAAATTTAATTCGAAATATCATATTAATCAAATACACAATATTGTTTTCCGAATGGTCGATATAAATAAAAGTTTTCACGTAACAAAGGAAATAATCAAATGATCTCGATGGTCAATATTGATTAAATCTAAAAACTTTAAAAATTTCGTAATTGCTCATCTACATTATTCTTATTTAATATTATTTTCTAATTATTTCAATAACTAAAAACTCATTTTCGGTCGCCATGATCCAATGACCAAATATAATTGAATTGTAATTGAATTGACTCGCTTTTGTGACAATAATATTGTAATAAATTATCAATCTATCAAAAAAATCACCCTATTTATAATTTGTAAGCGAAAAAAAATATACACGTGAAAATAAATAAATATCGTAAAATACTTATAAAAAAAGAAAATACAAACATAATAAATAAATAAAATATTTTTTATTGAAGAATGAAATAATAAGATTAATATGCAATTTTATACATGCACATATGATTCCATATATATACATATATATATTTACTTATATATTATTATATAATATGTAAAATAATTCCTTACATGTCTTATATTTTTTAATAAATACAAAAATTTTTTTTTGTGTTGTATTATATTTAAATATTCATGCGTGAGAACAGAAATCAGTCAGAATTTTTAATTAAAAATTTCCTAGAAATTTTGCAATATACACTGAAAAAAAAAAATTTTTAATTTAATACCATTACAATTTTTATAATATTTTAAATGCTTCTTCACATTTTTTTCTTGAAATTTATAAAAAGTATATAATATTATAGAAAAAAAATATATATTATATAATATATGAGAAAAAATATCATGTGTCTATTTAAGAAGAAAAGTGTAAATAAGAGTACTTTAACGAAAAAAGTAAAAAAAAATTATAAAATGTTAAGAAATATTTTTTTTTTTAATATTTTAGTTTAGCAAAATAAAAATAAACTTATAAGATGCAATTTTATATTTATAGAAAATGTTATATAGAATACTTGTAATATTCTTAAAGGAAAATATGTAAAATTTTGCAAAAAAAAAAATGAGGAAAATTCAAAGTAAAAAAAAAAATATTATAAAGGATTCTTCTTTAAATATTATAAGACGTCGTCATTTTGCTTTATTTATTTACATAATCTCCTGTTGTCGGAACTCTATTTTACTTTTTAAAATGAATAAAAGTATATAGAAAATATTATTATACAATTTAAATGCAAAATTATATTATGTAATTAATATCAGTTTCAATATAATAGAGAGTATAAATTTTTCAATATTAAGAACATTTAAAAATTTTTCTATTATCCCTCTAATCATCGAACTTCTTGTAAAACATCAAATAGATCGATTTTATATATAATATTTAATAGAAAATATAATATTAAATTGCTATTTTTTAATCGATTTGAAATAATTATTGCTTTTTCTTTATAAAATAGAAATTAGTTAAGAGTTTTATTAATATTTTTTATATATAAAAGAAAATTAAAATATGAAATTTATGCAATTATTTTATTAATATAGAAAACCTTTCAATTGATATATTATAGATTGGTGTTCTTAAAGTAGATATTTAGAATAAAATTAGTGATTATTAGTTTATTAATTTTCATTTTATTTTTTTTTATTAAAAAATATATAATTTAAAATCACTTCATTTAATTTATAACAACCATTATAATTATAAGAGCATTATGTGTTATAAATTTTAGAAATATCATTAATTAAAATATATATTATACTATTTTATTAAATTAATAACCTTTAATATAATTTCAAGAACCTAAGCCTTTATACCGTAATATTTATATAAGATTATTTCATATTATGAATGTAATATGAAGAAGTTCTTATGAATTAGCGCTTAAATTTATATATGTAGAGGGTTCTATAATATTAAAATATATTGAATATTAAAAAATTTAGATTATTTTCGTAAAGAAATGAATGATTTTTACAAAAAAGAAGAAAATTTTTTTGAAAATAAATTGATTTTTGAAGGAGTTATTTTAATTTAATGCGTAAATAAATTGAATACAAAATTAGATTTTTGCATGATTTAGTAAATAATTTATTTATTTAATTTATTTATTATTAAATCAAAAATTAGTATAATAAATTTATAATTAATAATATTTATGAAATTATTTTATTTTGCATATTTTTGTTAAATAAGAATAAATTTAAATATTACGAAAAATAAGCTTATATTTTATGAATTTATGAATAATTCTGTTTGCAAAAAATTAATTACCTATAATAATTGTAACGTGTAGCATGTAATATTTTTTATGTGAAACTACAATTGAATTTTTAAATAATTTAGAAATACTTTTTTGAATAAATGCAAGGTTTTGTAAAAAGTAGTGTAGCAACATGTTTTATTCAAAATTTTTGAAATTTTTGAAATTAAAATTGGAAAGAGACAAAAATTTAAAAAAATTAATTTTTTTATTTATTTATTTATTTATTTATAATAAATTTTTAATTACAGATTTTATGAAACGAATTTACAATATTTGAACTCTAACAAGACCCAATTCATCTACATTAATAAAATATTGAAATAAATAATTGATCATGAAAATTTATTTTTTTGTCAAGTAATTCTTAAAAAAATTTAAATTTTTTATTTATTATTGGAAAAACCTATAATTCCGAACCTGTATGCCTATAATTCCGAATTATATTTATCTACAATATCATTTTTAATTTGATTTAGAAGTATGGCTGTTTCTTTTTTTAAATTAATCTGATTTTCAAAATCATAGAACGAAAAAAAAATTGATTTAATATTTTGAGATGAGTTTTTGCCACTTTGATTTATAAACCTTAGAAGTTTCCGAAATAAATAAAATTTTTTGAATTAAATGGGTTCAGTATCAAGAATTAAATTAATAGTAATGCCTGAATGTTATAAAAAGTTGATTTAGACTGTTTTGACTTATTGTAAATTTATAATTCAATAATTTTATTATATAATCAAAAAGTATTGAATTAGTGCTACATAATTTTAGTAGTCAATAACAAACTGCCTATAAAATCAATATTATTCTAGAAATTTTACTTATCAATATTCTCAATCTTATCACAACTTCGAATTCTGTAAGTATATTTTTTATTTTTTATTTACACTATGTATCCTGCCAAAATTTCCCAATTTAATATAGCCTTTATGATTAATGTGGCTTATGGTTTCTTTTTTCTAAAAAATAAAGCTAAATTTCAAGATTTTTTTATCAAATGTCATGAATTTTTATAAACCAAATAGTTTGGTATTTTTTCTTTAAAAAAAATTTTTTAAATTTACGTGACTTCCAATTCCAAAATAATAAAAAGAAATATTAAACGCTATATAACTTTATTTTTTAAAATTAATTTTATTAAATTTACTTGAAGCATTAATCGTTCTTTTTTTTTTTTGTTTCGGACTAAACCCATTTTCTGCTTAAAAATCGCAGTTTTTTATTACTTAACCGAATTATTTTATTACCAATTATAAATTTATTTGTTTCCCAATATTTTTATACCATTAAAATGAAAAAGAAAAAGCAATTGCATACTTTAAACATTTTAATTTTAAGAAAAACAAAAATATTACTCAACAATTTTTCACAAAAAAAAAAAAAATAAAAAAATTCAATTTAAGAAAATTTTATTGATTTTACTTGAATGCACTTTAATAATGCGCGAAATTTATTAAATAAAAACAAAATCAATAACAATATAAAAATTATGAAGAATTTTATTTTTTACAAAACTTTCTTCTTTTTTTTCAAAGACTTTTACAAAGTTTTAAAACAAAAAAAAAGAAAACTTGTTTTGTTTACTCAAGGGAATACAAAAAATCAAAAATGTTCTGTTATATTAAAACTTTATTTCAATAATTAAATTCTGATTAATTTTAACAGGGCAAAAATTATTGCCAAAAAAAAAAAATAAAAAATATTATTTTATAATTGAAATTATCATAATTATCTAAAATTGAAAATAATTTTCCGCGAATTCTCGTCTATTCCCTCAAATCCCCGCATATTCACGCAGAATTCTCGCGTATATCGCCATTCTTCCTTCATTCTTTCACTCTTTCATGATTTTCTTTGCCTAGCCGCTTAAATTTTTTTTATCGTAGACAACAAAAATAATGTTGTGCGTTAAATATTCACCTTATTGTTTCTTTATTTTATTTATAAATGAGAATAATATATTTATAAAAATATTCTAAGTGTGTAAGTATGTTGGTACTACAAAATGTTAAGCCTATATG